CACAATACATCAGGGAAACAGGCTAATTTTTTCAGATAAGGATGCAGTGGTGACGAAATCAGGCTTTTATTTTTATTTATATTCGTTAGACAAATCACGTTTCATTTCATCGTTGTCAAAAATACATATTTTACTCACATTTTTGTTTTAGTTATGCAAAATCCCTTTGTCAGGCCAAAATTAACATTTCATCAGCAAAATTAACACTGGAGGCGATAACAGGTATCAGGCAGCCATGAGCGCAAGCAAACAAATGGTCTCCATGGAAACTGTACAGTTTCATTGCTGTAAAATATCTTTCAGTGCAGTAAATTCCTTAAGGTTTTTCTATGAGGAAATTCATGAAGGGATTCTGTGCAACACCCTTAAATAAATACATCAGCTAAGGAGCAATTAAACCTTAAGTGTCATACTTAAGGGGACAACTTAAGGTGTTTTGCGCAAGCGGTCCCTGAATCTTAAAGGCACTGATGACTGGGGCAGGTATAAAAAATTACTGACCAGTGTAAATCTACACTATATGGACAAAGGTTTTGGGACATGCCTCTCAAACATGGAATTCAGGTATTTCATTCAGACCCATTGCCACAGATGTATAAAATCCAGTGCCTAGCCATGCAGTCAGGTTTACAAACATTTGGGAATGAATGGGTTGTTATGAATAGCTCAGTGAATTCAAAAGTGGTGCTGTCAAATGATGCCACCTTTGCAATATGTCAGTTTGTGAAATTTCTTCCCTACTAGATATCCCATGGTCAAATGTAAGTGGTATTATTGCACATTGGAAGCATTTAGGGACAACAGAACCTCAGACACAAAGTGGCAGATCATGTAGTGTAACAAAGCCAGTGCTGAAGCGCATAGTGCGTAAATGCTGCCAGTGCTCTGTTGACTCTGTAGCTGCAGAGGTCCAAATTTCCACTGGCATTAATCCCAGCAAAAACTTCATGGAATGGGACTCCATGGCCGAGCAGCTGTATGCCAGCCTCACATCACCGAGCTCAATGCCAAGCGTCAGATGAAGTGGTGTAAAGCACACTGCCACTGGACTTTGGAGCAGTGGAAACACATTCTGCAGAGTGATGAATCATGCTTCTCTGTCTGGCAGTCTGATGGATGAGTCTGGGTTTGGCAGATGCCAGGAGAACCTTACCCACCTGACTGCATTGTGCCAAGTGTAAGGTTTGGTGGAGGAGGGATAATGGTATGGAGTGTTTTTCAGGGGTTGGGCTGGGCCCCTTAGTTAAAATGAAGGTCACAGTTAGCGCCTCAGCGTACCATTGTAGACAATTCTATGCTTCCAACAATGTGGAAACAGTTTGGGGAGGCCCTTTTCTATTCCAGCATGATTGTGCCCCAGTGCACAAAGCAAGGCCCATAAAGACATTGTTGGGTGAGTTTGGTGTGGAAAAACTTGACTGGTCTGAACAGAGCCCTGACCTCAACCTCATCAAGCACCTTTGGGATGAACTAGAACGGAGATTGCGAGCCAGGTCTTCATGTCCAACAGCAGTGCCTAACCTCACAAATGCTCTTCCGGATGAATGGGAAAAACTCCCACAGACACACTCCAAAATCTTGTGGACAGCCTTCCCAGAAGAGCGGCTGCTGCAATGGGGGGGGACCAACTCCATATTGATGCCTATGGATTTAGGATGGGAAGTCATAAGGCGTTTTTCCACCGCACCAGGTACCGTACTTTCGGTACTTCCATAAAGTGCCGAAAGTACGGTACTTTTACTGGTGTAAAAAATGGTACCGGCACCAAATGACATCATCAGTGATCGCCCCTGACTGACATCGTCACAAAGCGCAGCTTAAATCATGATTAAAAAAAAAAAACAGCCCAAAATTAAAACTAACAGTTTAGGCTGGAAAATGTGGTTTATTGTTATGTCAACTTCTATCACAGTATAAGATTCGGTAATATCCAAATTGCATGAATGCTGCCATCATTTATGTTTACGTAGGTACACTTACTTTGGCTAAGCCGATCAAAGCCGATCTTTTGAAAGCAAACAAATGATGTTTTTTGTAGGGATGGGACTGGATAAAATTTTTTATCTAATTAATTAGAGGCTTTGTAATTAATTAATCTTGATTAATCGTTTTTAATTGCACAAGAAAATTTGCACCAAAGCGCAAATGTTTTTTTAATTTAAAAGGGTTTTAGTGGGTGACAGAATCAAATAATAGACATGGACACGAATATTGCAAACTCAAGCTCTTTTAATTTCTGAAAAAAAAAATGCATTTAAACTGCATTTCAATTCAAAACAGAGAACGAAAATAATATCCCTGGCCAATATTGGGTAGACTTATAAAGTGCTATTTTAAGTACTTTAAGTACATTTTCAGAATGGTATTGTCCTTAAATAATAATAATAAAAATTACAACATAAAATGCCTTGACATTTTAAAATATTTTACCTATCTAAAAAACATTTATCCCAAAATGTTAGGGATATAATTGCTTTTATTCAGCACAAACTCAGCACCAATAATCTGAGACCACTTAGAATGTTGTTATTCTATTTCTTGTTAAAATCAACTTTAAACATATGCTTTTCAAAAATCTATTTTCAGACATGCTGAGAAATTGTAAAAAAAAATCACATTATAGACATTTCTAGCCAAGACTTTTGAGCTCTGAAGCTTATAGACACAGGGGTTGACTACACATAGGTGAAAGAGACATTCTGAAATTTTATGTGGTCTGATTACTAAAGTGTTAGAACTTTTTCTCAAAGTCAGTGGCCTGCACAATGAATATTGATGGGATAGGTGTCCCCACACCTGTAGTAGTTTGCATACTGTCAATGGCCGATCAGTCTGGAATGTCACTGCACCCCACACACATCACTTTGGAAAGGTAGTTTGAAACGCAAGAAAAGTAGCAACAATAAAATCATTTTCACAGTTTATTGGTAGATGGAATGAAAAATGAAAAACTGTGACCATATAAATATGATGCAGCGCCTATGCAGAGTTGACGGAAATAAAATAATTATTATTAACGATCTGGGGACGAGGGCATTGTCGACCGCGTATCTCTAGTTTATTTCAATTTATATCTCGCTGAAATCATTATGTAGAATCATGAAAAACACTGACTAAATCCATAATCGATCTTCTTTTCAAAACTTCCATTGTCGGAAGTATTAAAGTTTTTAAAATTAGGTTAAATCGGCAAAAAAAGCAAACCACGTTACTTTTGTTTTATTTGCATCGGGGGCGTATAGTACCGCTCTCAGCTGAAGATCGCTATTCACGTTCTAAATAGGCAGGGTTTGAACCGGCGATCTTATGAATGCAGGCGTGCAGGCTTAGCACACTGAGCCATGAACACAAGTAGGAGAATCGCTGCTGAAAGTGGCAACACTGGCGCAAAGCTTCAGCGGCAGAGACGTATCCGTGTGCCATTTTGTAGCTGATCAGTGTAAACACTACCCAGACATGTGCTCTTGTTTATTTCAATCACAATGGGCGTATTCACATATTTCTTTACCCAATACTAACTGTATGATTATCATGTTATTATCATGCGAATAGCGCGATTTGCAAGTGGTTGGGCGATCAGAGCTGCTTCGAGATGCAGACGCTTAAGTCAGTCACTCTTGTTATTTCTATTCGTATCATGAAGCTGTAAAAATATATTTAGTTTCTACCTATATATATTTCAAAAGTAGACCGTCCAAGGTTTCTGAGGGTTTTTAAAATGTGTATATGACAAAAACTCGCAGTTATTTAAATGGTTTGGCGAAATTTCTGTCATATCCTGCCTGCGGGATAGCCGACTCCAGAGGGTTAATACGTTATTTTTTTATACGCGTAATTTTTTTTTCAAATTAATTAATCGCAATTAACGCGTTAAATTCCCACCCCTAGTTTTTTTATTTTCAAGCGGCATTGTTCGGTGTTTAGCGTGTGCCCCATTTCTTCTAGGCGGCTTGGTATTACGGTGTTCCGGTGTTCTGTCATATAATACTACCTATCGAGACGTGCTATCGAGCCATTCTGCGCATGTGCAGTTCCACCGTTTTGGGATTAGGGTTAGGTTTTAGGGGTTAGGGTTAAGGTAAGGGTTTTAGGGGTTTTGGGAGGTTAGGGTAAGAGTTAGGGTTAGGGCTATCGATTAGCACTACGGTAGCATTTTTTGACAAGGCAGCACACCGGGCAATTCAGTTTCCCTATGTTTCCCCTAATGTTAAACCAAAGAGGTATGTGAAATGTCTGAAAATCACTCAGGTACATTATTACATGTGAATACAGTATTGTTATTAGTACCGAGGCCCAGAGTTGCTGTATACCTGTTTTAACAGGGGGGAACCAAATATCCTGGATGTCAGGAAATAATGTTTCTCCTAATATTTAGGCAAAGATGTATGTCTGAAAATCACTCAGGTTGATTATTACATGTGAATACAGTAGATCGTCACGCATAATATAGTCTTATAGGCCTAAGCAATACTATACCGTTTTCATCAAGAAATATCTTTATCCAGCGAATTAAATAATTTCATTTATTATCTGTAAAAACATCGAAAAGGCATGTGATGTTTTAAAATATATGGCTTGTTTACCTCAAGAACTCCGTAAAAAGACATGAAAACAACAGCGAAACCGTGTACAAATCAGCGCGCGACAGGGGAAACAGGGAAACTGAATTGCCCGGAACGGCAAAAACTTTTGCCATCCAAATCCCGCTGGATCTATTCATCCGACCATATGGCGATTAAAGCCTGTTTCCTCGCTTGTCCATCCTTCCATTTTACTTTTATATATATATATTCTACTGCTTTTTATTTTGTTTCTCGCTGTGATCGAGAGCTCTGTTCGCTGTGTGTTTCAAAAGATGGCGGTTGTATTTTGTGTTTCAGCAGGCTATTTGCATAACCAATCGATAGCAAATACTTTTGCAAGTCCCACCCCAAAGTACCAAAGAAGTACCCCAGCTGGTTTGGCACTTTCTGTACTGGAACTTTCGGTACTGACACTCGACTGGAAGTCAATGGAAAAGCGAAAGTACCGTACCGAAAGTACCGTACTTTGTGCGGTGGAAAAGCTCCCATAGAAGTTTCTGTAGGGGTGATGGCCAGGTGCCCCAATACTTTTTTCCATATAGTGTGTGTAAATAAAATACTTAACCCCCTAAATAAATAAACAAACAAACAACCTACATTCCTGAAACGTTTGGTGTTTGCCCTGGAAGGGAAATGGCTGCCTAATCAGGTTGTGGGGAAAACCCATTGATCCTCCAGGGGTCCAGCCCACGCTTGGCTGTAGAGCCGATCCATTTAATGGCTTTGGCGGGTTGGGGGTTCAGCTCAGGGGTGTGACACTGAAAATGATCAGATATGCTGTGCATCTCCCCACCACAAGCCTTAGTAAACAGGTTTAGTGTGGTGAGCCTAAAGATCAGTAAAACTGGTTCTTATCCCAGGAGACAGGTGCTTCTGCTTTGAGCAGGTAGCTGTGTTTACAGTGTCTGTTCTTAGTAAGGAGAGCAGGATCCCCCCACCTGTGTGTCTGTGCACGAGTGAGTGTGTGTGTGTCTGTGTGTGTGTGTGTGTGTGAGAGAGAGAGATACACACTGTTTAAGGCAGAGCAATTTGATCTGACTTACAGTGTCACCCATTTGCACAGTCGCCTGTCTGTCTGCTTGGCCCAGGTTACAGTCACTGCTCACATCCAACGGCCTGATGTCTGTGGAGGCGGTCGGTGGAGCAAAAGCCCACTCAGCACATTTCTCTCTTCTGTATTTTTTTCTTCTTCACACAAAATCCCCCTTTTTTCTTTTTTACCTTTTCAAATGTGTCTCAGTCCTTCCTCCTCCTGCTTTCCCCGCCCAGCAGGGTTGGGCCGGCTGTGTGTCACCTGGGGAGTGGATGGGGACATAAGACACCGAGGAGGATGTGCACACGGCTCGCTACGCCATCTGTAAACAAACAAAAAGGCCGCTGGCTAAAGTCTTCTGTTTACTCGCACTCCTGCTCCTTTTCATGACTTTTCATGTGGCACCATTGTGACCTTGCAGGTCCACCGGTGACCCAAGCAGACATTACTGAAGCTGCTCTGTCACTGCTCCATGCTTCTCTGTCCTGCTCTCTCCCTCCTCTACGGCCGGCGCCGGTTTCCACAAAGGAGCAACCTGTGCATCCATTGTCATTGTGTCCTTTTTACAGGGCTTACAGAAAGAGGTTGTCGGATTTATTTTACGTGTGTATGTAAAATGCGGACGCATGCAAGATGGGCCCTAGAACTGAGGAGGAGAGGCGTGGAAAGTCTCTTCTCCAAACAAGATACTCAAAGGTGCCATTTTTTAGAACTTTACTAAAGCTTGCACATGAGTTTAATATTAGTCTTGCTCTCTTTTTCCCTCTCCCCCTTTTCCTCTCATTGTTCTCCCTTCTTTTTAGTTACATCTATGACCCCTCAGTTTCTGTCGACATTCCCAGGCGGAAAAGTGAGAGCTGCATTAGTACCCAGTACCAGCAGAAATCCATAGTGGTTGACAGTAGCCACAAAGTACAAGGCTTTCACAACTTGGGCTACAGCAGCGGGAACTCCGAGGCGTTCGAAAGGGACCCCGATAAATTGCAGATCGACAACAATGAGATCAACCGCCTGCACACCAGTCCGGCCCCCTTGGAGCCGGGCCTCGTGGGGGGACAGAACCTGTACATTCTCCAGGTGGGAAACAATCTGCAGAACTGCACAGTGCCAAACACGGCGAAAGCCTCACCCAGTGTGCCTTCAGAGTGCTCGGCCGGCGCAGAGAGGAGCCTGCAGGGTGATGCCTGGACAGGCCTGCCCTCTGGAGAGTGGCTGGAAGGCCTAGCACATGTGGACAGAACAGAGTCTTATGCTAGCATGGCTAGTCTGTCCACCGTAGAAACCAGAGTAAGCCACCTGGAAACGGAGGATGCCACAGTGTTGCCTGAGCTGGACACAAAGGGAGGGGGAGACGCGCAGGAGAATGGGGGAGACTCGGAGGACCGCGGGAGTGTGCTGGACTCGGACGTGGCCGAGGCACTGGCCGCGCTGGAAGCAGCTATGGCGGGTGAGGACTGTGACTGACTACAGTACTGGCTGCAGGCATCCAGAGATTACCCAGAATGCCAGCTGGCTTCCTTACTTGTGTCTATGACACAGATACTGCGTGTACCCTTATGGACAAAGGATTGTCACATATGCTAAAGCATTTCACACTAGCATATGAACAGGGAATATATTCTGTCTGTCAAAAACACAGAAAATGGCATTTATTAACACTAAATTTGTATGCTTGACCGTGTGCATATAGGGCGTAACTGTATGCATGTGCATGACAGCTGAGGAATTATGGTAGGTTTATGAATGATGCTGTGTGTTTTGACTCATCGGTGACGTATTCCTTTTTAATACTGAATGTATATATTAAGATTAGTAGTGGACTATGTGCATGTCTTGTAGTCAGATCAAACATTCATCTTATTGTTTCCTCTGAGCTTCTAAAACCTGCTGCATCCAAATACTAACTCCTGAGACTGTCTACAACACATCTGTCTGAATGCTGGCGCTTTTTTGATAAAGAAAAGAGGCACAAATCCCATTGCCGGATATTTGGTTCTCCATTTCCGTGCTCCTAGTAGTGGCCATATACTGTGAATCTACTGTTTTATGTCGCTCAGGAGTTTTTAATCCTCTCTGGCATTGAAGCCCTCCAAGCTGCTGAGACACATCCTCATCAAATGCACAAAGCCTTGTTTTTTTCTATCAATCTGATCATTTTATTTGTGTCCTATCCAGTTATTTATGCTAAGAACATTTAACTCCTCACGCCTTTCTGTCTAAACATGTATTTTTAAGTGTAGATTTTTGATTCTTAATCCCTCCATTTGAATGGGCACTTTGGCAGATTTTGGGAGTAATACAGTAGACCTGGAAGGTGTGTGTGTGTGTGTGTGTGAGAGAGAGAGAGAGAGAGCCCTGAATTCATTGTGATACATCAAAGTTGACAGATGTGCCACATTATGTGAATATTCTAGCAACTGTACTATACCCTGTCAAATACTTTTTATCATTTTTAAACTTTAGTGAAGGTCATTATCCATTGAAGGAATCTCCATGTGTTATATGTCTTGTTTAACGTGTGTATGTTTGTGAACCGCTGTGTATGGCCTAGGGCGAGTGTGTGTGTGTGAGTGAGTGAGTGAGTGTGTGCGTGCATGTTTTTGTTTGCCATATTACTGCCAAGTAGTTGATTGTTTTAAAAAAAAAAAAAAAGTCAATTAAACCCACAATGTTCCCTGACCTCAGTGCTGGAATGCATTTACTGTGTTTTACTGCTCCCTGGAGCGCGAGTCTGCACTGTTTGACTGTGCTTGGAGATGATGACACGCTCTCCTTTGGAAACGCAGAGCTTCTCCTTTCTGTACGCCTCAGATCCTTATGCTGTGATAACATCGCCGCCCCCCCGCCTTGGGACACAAATATACAAATGGGCAACTTTGCAAAGCTTTCTAAAACATGCCTTTCCCCGGCATATGCAAAGCACTTCAGGTCAGTGCTTCCAGTGCCTTCTGCGCTGCTCACCGGGCACACCTGCTCGCTATCTGCCAGGGAGGGAGGAGAGCAGGTTTGCCACTGCCATGTGATCTCACTTAACGTGCTCGGTGCGGCACAGGTGTTCTGGGCCGGATGCGTGTCGGCTGAGTGACCAGAGAGGTTTGTCGTCGTCGTCGTCTGTGTCTCTCCATTTGCTCACAGTCTCCCTCACTCAGTGGGCACTGTGCTTCAGGGCAGGCATGTGCGGAGGGCCATTCAGGGTGCCTGATTAAAAGTGCCCCACTTTCAGTGTCTTAGTGCTCCTTTTTGACAACCGACGATCATTCAAAATTTGCTTTATTATGGAAAAATGTGAGCAGTAACTCTACCCCCTCGTTCGAGCACCTGCCCTTCAATGTCTTTACATGGCCCTGCTTTGGAGCGATTCAAGTCCTTCGCCAACCCTGACTGGTGAGCCCCCCCAAAGCTTATTTAAATAGCATGGGCAACTTGAAGGTTACTTTAGTTCTCCTGTAGTCCGAATTCATCTAGGCCATCGCTTGCTATTTATAAAGGTACCCACGGTGAGCTAAATGAATATTGTATCTGAGCATGTGTACAGTGTCCCCGAGCCACAGTGTTGCTGCAGTGACTGTGTGCATCTGCCTACAGGTGCTGTTCTCAAGTTACTATGTACAATCGTGACCATCTGTGTACAGTAACACTGCTCATCAGATAATGCAGCACAGAGCTGGATCGTACTAACTGTGATGTCACCTATGGCAAGCTTCAAACCATAAAAGGACAGAAGCAAGAAAAACTCAATTCCGATGATGGGATTCTGCCTGGATGGAAAATCTTTGTTCGGCAGCTATTTTCGGTTATTATGTGCAGGGTCTGTTCAGTAATGAATCTTCTTTCATTAAATGAATCTTAATGTGTGTGTTGCAATATAATTTGCAAAATATTGAAAACTCTTTAAAAACATATTATGAAATATGTCAGTTTCTGAATGTGTACAGGATAAAATTCTTCTGTTATCCAGGTTTGTGTTTTTGAAAAGGTATTAAACATGTTATGAATTTTTCAATTTTTGCCTCAAGGTAAAATTCAAAAATGGAGAAATAAGGATTAAAATATGCAAAGGAGCAGTTTAATCATTTCGGTGAAAGGAGGGAGTTAAACCTCTAGCATCTCCTCTTTCCTCTGCAATCTGTGGAGTCAGGAACTACGAGGTGCATTGTGGGAATTTTCACTGGAGGCAACAAATATATATCTCATCCATCATTATTAGGGAAAAATGTGAGCAGTAATTATATTACAGCAAAACCTGGTTTATTTTCCAGGGATTAAGCCACTATGGATGGTCACGGCTGTTTGTAAACTTCCCCATGAACTACGTGCCAGAGCGCTATATGAACTGCGTTCTTTAATGCAGTTCATCTTTATCAAATACACTTAAAGAAGTGTTATATTTACAAAGTTCTTCATTGTGTACTACTTTTGTTAAAGAAATAAAAGAATGATCAGTTTGGACGCTGCAGTGATAGTGATTTCAGTGACTCCTGCGTAAAGATGTCCTGTGTGGACGCCTGACTAACCAGTAAGTAATTATTAAGCGTAAGTAAAAGGAAGCACCTTTTACTTGTCCCTAGGCCAAATTACTCATTTTAAAGAGATGCTTTCAGTACGTCGTTTAATATGTATCTGTGGGCTTAAACTTTTTAGGTTACTAGTGTTATGGTCAGGAGAGAACACTACCTAAGAAAATAATTGTGCTGGTTATTACATTATGACCAAGTTTATCTTTAATATCTGTTCTCCATTGGTGGTATAATTATGGATGATTAACAGTGTTTTAAAACCATTTCATCATGTTTTTTTGTTATTCTTTAGCTAAGTTGAACGGGGGTACCCACGTCTAGTTGTCATGGTAGGAAAATCTGGCAGTGACCACTGAGGTCATTTAACATTCCTGGAAACCCGTCACTCGAAATGGAGAGATCAGGTTGCCGGTTCCCGTGACCGTGGCCCATCTCTAGGTTGATGAGCAGAACTTCTGGTAGGTGACACCAAGGCACAAGAGGAAATCCTTTGGGGAGCTGAAGTGGACAGCCATCCTCCCTTCAAGGTGAAAGAGGCTTTTGAACAGTTTCAAAAATCCCCCCCCCCCCCCCCCAGGGGTAAAATTGCAAATATCCCCCACTGCAAAGACCTAGATGGTGTGTGAATAGAAACAAGGCCAGAAGCTTTACTTGAATGTCACCTGTCAGAGAGCCTGGAGTGTTTACTGTAACAAAGCATTAAGGGGTCATCAACCAGCATAGACATTCTTCCAGACTTTCACACAAACACACAAAACTGTCAAAACAGAAAAGCACTGATTTCATACCTTTATTCGGCCAAAAAGGTGTTGTACAGTGTTTAAGTGATACGCATCCATTTCTGTCCTGTCTAACCTGCACCATACCTTTAAGCAATATAAATGAATGTGCAGATTTACTGTACATCTTAATAAAATCTTGCCATTTTTATCTGGTTGTATTTCATAAGCAGACTAATAGCCAATGGGATGTTGGGTTACATCTCTAGGTGTGTGGAGTTTAAGTCAAGTGGGGTGATGCTACGATTATATAATTCCTTGGTAAGACCCCACCTAGAATATCGTATGCAGGTTTGGTCACCATACCTTAAGAAGGACATTGCTGCCTTAGAAAAGGTGCAATGGAGGGCTACGAGAATGATTCCTGGCCTTAGAGGAATGTCTTATGAGGAGAGGTTAGCTGAGCTGAATCTGTTCAGCCTCGAGCAAAGGAGACTAAGGGGGGACATGATCCAGGTCTACAAGATTCTAACGGGTCTGGATGTTGTTCAGCCAAATGGCTATTTCAATATTAGTTTAAATACTAGAACTCGTGGCCGTAAGTGGAAATTAGTGGGAGAACATTTAAAAATGAATTTAAGGAAGCACTTCTTTACACAGCATGTAGTTAGAGTAGAGAATGGTCTTCCTGTTCAAGTAGTGCAGGCTAAAACCCTAGGTTCCTTTAAATCAGAGCTAGATAAGATTTTAACAACTATTAGTTAAGTTCTCCCCAAACAAGCATGATGGGCCGAATGGCCTCCTCTCGTTTGTAAATTTCTTACGTTCTTATAGCACGTAGTCGCATGTCTGTTTGTGCTAATTACTCATCTGACCACAAAATCCTGCAAGCCAACAGGTAGAATGCAAACAATGGTAGAATGTAAAGCATGAAAACGTGCTTCACCGGTGTACAAACACAGAAAGACCTGAACCAAAGCAAGTTAATATTTGCAGAAAGACTTTTTACCGTAATGTGACGCAATATACAAATGGGGTTGTACTTATTCGTTTGCTGTTAATTCTAGGAAATCCTTTTGTATACAATCTGGCCACAAGGTGGCACCTGTTAAACTCCTTGCACCCAGGTGTCTGACATATTGCCACATCTTCCTGCAGATGGCAGCATTGTTCTCAGCAGCTAACTTCAGACAGGATGAGACATGTTGATATGCACCAATATCATTTGTATGTTATACCTGGTCATAATGCCTACTTAACACCAAACTCACATTTCCTAATGTACATACACATTTTCAGTTAATTATTGAAATCCAAAATATAGGATGTCCACAAATACCTGGGCAACTACCAGATACTACCTGTATCACAAACAGAATACAGTTGCACAGACCCAGCTGGCCAAAAATGCAGTCACAGAAAGGCTAAAAGGCAGGATTTAAGCCCTTAGTCAAATCAGTACTGAAGCATACGTCAGAAGGCTGCCCTCACTCACCAAATAACTCGAAATGTGGAATCCGTTCATGTTCTCAGAAGAGTCGAAGCTCTGCAGACCAAGGGGCCAGTAGTTGTTTAATGTGTAAAGGCTTTTTCCACAGAAGCTCAGCAGATGCCACCTTACATGAAGATTATGATTTTTTATTTACAACTTTACCTACAACACATTGACCTTCCTAATACCACTGAATACATTTAACATCTAAACAAAATGTATTGATAATCTTTTTTATAATTTGGGGACTTTAACTGGGTGGCTGTATAAAATGTTTTCCCACAAAGCACATAAAATTTTTGCTTTATTCAGTTGGACCGCAACAAAACAGGTAGTATTCTTGTAGCCTGGAAAATTTTTACAGATAATTTACAAATAAAAGCAAGTCCCCCACCTCAGTGCAATTTACTGCATCTGAGTAGATTGCAAAGAAACTAAAATGCAAGTGCAAAGAAAATCACCAAACATCTGGAACCTTCCATTTAAAAATTTTTTAGTATCAAATATTGGTTTTCATGATTTCATAAAACCAAATCTCAAATACAGGTTCTAAAACTGTAGTAAAGCTCAAACGGGGTGTGAGGCGTGCCCACCCCAACAGACACATCCGCCCGGCTAACGCCAAAATACACACAGAATCCAGACAGCATCATTTATGACAGCAGGGTCACTAGCTTAACTCAGTGCTTGCATTTGCATTGCATCCTTAAAAGCAGTACTAAATAGCCTTTCATTAAGTTAGTTGTCAGTGCATGATCTGAGGTTTAACACACCAACCCCACAGTAAAAAAAAAAAAAAAAAAAAAAAAAAAAAAAAAAAAAATAAAAACTTTTCATTTTATTGAATAATGATAAACNTAGCCTTTCATTAAGTTAGTTGTCAGTGCATGATTTGATCATTTAGTTTTTCTTTTGACAGAAAAAAAAAAAAAAAAAAAAAAAAAAAAAAAAAAAAAATTAAAAACTTTTCATTTTATTGAATAATGATAAACTAATGAACTATGGAAGCCATAGAGGGCCAAAAAGACAGATCGACAACAAAGGAGTTGCAGTATGGAATCCCCCTGAGCAGAGTTCTTTGGTGTGGCTGCAAGCTGTATACGCAGTGGGGATGTGGATTTTTTCTATTGCCTTTAGCGAGTTAAGGGCAAGGCCAAGCATGCAGAAACCAAGGAAATGGCTTCACACGCACACAAGGTGTCATTACTAAGCATTTGTAAACCAATACATAGTACAGTGTTCAGAGAATCTGTGCTCAGTTAAAAAAATAAATTTTTAAATGTGTGCTTTCTCAACAATTTAATTGCAGTGATTATAGGTTAGATGGACATGCAGTGTGACCCACATTGTTCCTTGTAACTGTATCGCTGGATTTTAAAGAACGTTCACACAAACCCGCTTCTGGTAATGACACGATGACATGATATCACTGATGCCTTCCTCTCCCTCTTCTTCCTCTCTAATACTTTTCCGTGTTTTCAGCTGTGCAGCAGCTGTTTGAGGCCAACGTGGGGTAACATGACCCTCCACTCGCTGGTCTGTGGCTCCGCCCACACTTGGGGCATGGGGGGGGGGGTGAAGGTTTAGCGGAGGTGGCAGCCTGGGATCAAGGTCACTACCGTCCACGGACCCCCTGCGAATCAGCGCCATTGTGGGAGAAGCTGCTCAGGTCTCCAGTGAGCCTCCCCCCACCGCATCTGCCTGATTCTTGGATTAAAGTACATAAATGACTGTAGCACCTCTCCATGGGGGACAGGGGGGTGAGGCCCCCAGATCCTTCTTCAGGGATCCTCCTGGTTCTGTGGGAGGAATTTCAGCATTAAAGTCTCAAATAAATCTAGCCTAATTCTATAACGTCAATTTATGCATTTTAGCCTTAGACCTAGCTGTATAATAGCATATCATTTACAGCGCTTCATCAGTAAAGGAGAAGCTTACCCTTAAATCGGTCCTTTGTCTTGTTTTTCCTGTAAGAAAATGTAAGAAAACAAACTTCATGGTAAGATGACATAAAAGCCCCTAATAAGCTGACAAGGCCACAGCCCAGTTACGTCACACCAGCTACATACAAGCCTTCCAATCCTACATTGCACTCACCTGTGACTCTGAGGGGGTTCTGCTCTTCGGCTCAGTGGGAGAGGACGGCACGGAGCCATTCGGGTCACTTGTGCGGAGGGACCTCCTCTCCCGAGTGCTTTTGGGGTCACATTTTGTCACTCGGAACCTGAGAAGAATGTGGGTGATATTGAGCACCCGGAGGAGCAGGTTTAAATGCAGAAGCCCATTTAAGATTAGAAGGAGTGTTTGCCAACCATTCGTCAGCTGTGTCTACGCCAAGACAAACGTAACGCCTTAACTGAAGAGTGCTTGGTGTGAAACATCAAGGGCACTGCCTGGATGGGGATGTTTCCATTTCTGGACTGAAGTATCCCATCAGAGGTACAAATTTACACAGAGAGTTTTCTCCTGCACCGGAATCATTTCAAAGGCTCATCACCATAGCTGTCAAGTCTCCCGTTTTGGCCGGGAAACTACCGTATTTTACCCCTCTTTCCCGCAGTCCTCCCGTATTAGTATTTTCCCGTAAATCTCCCATATTTTAATGTCATTAAAAAAAAAAAAATCCTCTGCCTCTCCAAACTGAACTGTCAGTAGCCTCGCGAGAACTGCCACCTGCTGTAGTCTGCAGGTCATTCACAACATTAACCAGGTCATAAATGCGGAGGTTAAAATGGCAATACTGTGTGCTAAAAACAATGTTACTTTCACCTTCTGTGACGACTTCAACAAGGATACAAAGTCTGCAACAAATCTGTATAATAAGTCATTAGTGAATGCCAGAGAGCCACAAGTGAACATGAGGAATTAAAAGAAAATGTGTAATGAAAATAAAATGTAAATGTCAAGTGGTTATTTTAGATTTCTTGTACACCTGTCTTAAAATGTAAGGGATACTGGAGCTTGGTTGGGGTGGTGGGGTGGCTGCCGGAAAATTTCCCTTATTTTCAAATCCAAAGCTTGACAGGTATGCTCATCACACTTACACACACACACACACACACACACACACACACACACACACACACACACCACTCCAAGTAGTTCACAAACTTGTTTCGAAACATTAATTAAAATAATTTTCCAAAAACTCAAGCTAGAGTGACCCTAACCCTCTCACTAAACCTAAATGTTAAAATACTTGCTTCAGATATCCTACAAAAACAGGAAGAAGGATGGAGCACATACATATAAACAGCAACAGAATCAGATGACAGAGACTGCCGGTTTCAGTGGAGGACCGTGTGACCAACAGGAGATAAAGAGGCAAAATATCACACAGGCATTAAAAACGCAAATCAGTTGGTCAGACCAGGTTTAAGACAAAAAAAATGACTAACATCCAGGAGGGTGCAGAGTGTCAGCCTCAAACTAAACCCCACGATTACACTTGTGGAACCCTGCCCATTACTGTGATGTCACAAACAGGTCAACTCCGACTCCCGGTCTCCCCAGTGCCACTCCAGTCCAACCTCCAGGGGACGCTGCTCTTACCTGCCCACCGACAGCACGGTCACCTGACCCGAGGGACGGCTCCGGCTTGGCCTCCTCACCAGGGGCCACTTCTTCTGGTTACAGCGGCTACAGATGCTCTTCTGACCGGCCACTCCTCCCACCGTGTGCAGGTGGCTGCAGGTGTGCTTGGGTGCCCCCGGTGGTGCCCCCGGGGATAGTGGCGTATTTGCCTCGTTAGGTGACACAGGAGTGGTTGGGGTAGTCGGCCTGTTGAACAGTGAGGCAAGGTTGTCATGGTTACATCCCGGGTAGGATCCAGATTTCAGATGATCCTATCAGGCATATTAACTCTACTAGTTAGTGATTGTGTGGTAATCGAAAAATTACACGTTCACACTTCTCCATTCTGTTAATCAGGTTTAAAGCCTCCAGGGGTAGCTGAACGTGCTCCAGTCTGCATCCCCCCCTGGTCCCACAGGGCAAGACCCTAAGACTATGGGCCAAACACAGAACATCACGCCTATGCTGAGAGCCCCTGATACCGCAGTGCGCAGTGGGGGCAGGCGGGGCCAAGAGAACCACTGACCCTAGTCTGTATCCATGGTTACTGAGCTTTGCCCCACCCCCCCATGCCCCAGAGTGGCACACCATGCTGTAATGTTCTCTTGGCTTGCAACAGTTTACATACAGGAATGGTAGAGAAGTTAGGCTAGAGAGTGTTAAAATGTCTTATAAAAGAAGCTCAACAATAAAATTAAAAACTTTTATAAGACAGTATCTTACTATGTCACTATAGCATGTCATCATAAGCCAACGGCATCTCCTACATCGCAATATTAGCAGTAAACAACCCAAGAATCTCGAGTGCACTCCTGCCCCCTAGTGGAGTACCAGCAAATCATTTCCTGATGGTCCACCGCACATTTAATGTTACTTTGGTTGTGTTTGTGTGCACAGCTTAAGAAAACACCTTGTAGCCATCTTACCTATCACCTTCAGCACTGTGTTCAGCCACCATAGCGGTCAGAGCATCAGAGTTAGCTTGGAAGAACAAAAAAAAAATGCAAACAGCGTTTAGTGACAACATTAAGTAATATTTTCATTCAACAATTTGAATATGAAATCCAAGTAGAAGTGAACCTTAGGAGGCAAAGCCCTGTGCTGGCTAATTACCCCCAGTCTAAATATTAAATTGCACTCTAGACACCAAGTCACCATGGCAACAGCCCGACTCTTACAGACAGACCTAGCAATGGCTCTGTGAGGACCTTGGCTACCATCACCCCGAACAACCTGCTCTTATCTTAGAGACATCAAAAGCGAGAACCAGCAGTACCCCTGCCCCGGGCCAGTCCGGTGAACCCGGATTATACCTATCAGCAAACACAGTAAAGCGGGGGAATTTTTCAGCAGAACGAGTCCATGTCTTTACCAATACATCACTGCTCCCTGCAGCCTTGGGGCCCAGCGATGCCCTTCTCACGCACACCAGCTGAGCCTGTGGAGGGACCTAGTGCAATGCGTCTCGATCCTGCTTCTGGTGCCCCCCCCCCCCCAATGTCTTCATTCCAACCCACACTGCTTTTAACCTGCCACATTCATTATTAGCCTATTAAGGACCATATGAGCCTGATTTTGGTAGGGTTGGAATGAAAACATTCTGGCAGGAGGGCACCATGAACAGGATTGAGAACCACAGATCCAATCCCAGGCCAGAAGGCTGACAGCACTACCGATAGGTGCCAGAATCCCCAGTGCGACGCTCAGCTCCCCTTACCTTCATTCTTCATGATACAATGAACGATCCGGCCCAACGTGTCATTGTTGGCGTCACTGAAGGTGTCGTTCAGCTCTGAGGGAAGAGGACAAACAAGAGCTCTCTGGTCATTAAGCAGCATGGATTTCACAACCGGCATTTAAAGGCTTACCCAACAGCATTCCATTGCAAAATCATATTAAAGATGCCCAAGTGATTGGCGGGGGAACTCAAGCAGGAACTGCAGTACAAACTTTTTCAGTTCCTAGATGAAGTCAGACAGAAGGGGCCCGAGGCCCTCCCTGGGGACGCCAGCCGCCCAGCTCACACACTCTTCTCACCCCAAGCCGCCATTGGCCTGCATCTACCCCCCACTGCATTATGATGCCATTGTTTATATTCCACCTTCACCTTGTTTATTTTCTGAACTGTGGTCCCATTACACATATCCATTATAGTTTTGTTTACTCATGCTTATATTGCATGGTTTTGTCCTGTATTGCACAGGTTGTCCCATTGTCCCCTACTGCCCAGCAGCTGTAGCAGAAGAATTTCACCAAGTTCCTCCAAACGCACGTGACAAGAAAAAGCGTTGTGTAAGTTTCAGGTTAACACGCCTACCAGCAAAGGAGACTTTTGGTTTCTGCAGTTACTTTTTCGTAATGAAATTATAATACTTATAAAAATAATAGCCTCCCTAGATACGGACATCTCCTCCACAGAGAGCCACACTTTGATTCGCTACAGGACTCCCTCACAGAAGAGACAGCAGAAAACACAAAATTCTTCCTAAATGAGGACAGAGAGCCGGAACCCATTCTAACGACCATACAGATCTTCATGGCTTTCCACGGAAAAGCAACACTGAAACTCTGTGGACGCTCTCATAGCACCTGTCCTGTTCCCACTGGTCTGTCCTCCAACGAGTCAAACCTGTCACTAATGTGGTGGATGCTCCAGCTAGATCAGTGGCACCCGCTGCTGGTGGCCACTCGCTGCAACATCATCATCATCATCATCTCCAAATTGTGCTCCCAAATTCTCACTCCTAATAGTGAGATCTCTGATCTGCCAGCACAGCTGGTTCGGGACGTTCACGTGCGTCAGGGAACATCATCATGCCTGTGGCTCCTCCTCCACGCGTCTCACATTCACGCCAGTGAGGGAACATGATTCAGGAAATCCCAGGGGCCAGGCCACACTCTGCTGCTTCACACTGCAGGATCTTCCTACACCTCAGCCAGTAGGGGGAGCCGGTTCCTGTCCTGACCTCTGCCAGCCGTTCACAAAATGGGCTCAAGGGGAAATCCCACACCCACATTTCCTACACAGGACAGAGAAATCTTTGAAAAAGTAGTTTTCCTGAGAAGAATAGAAAACATCACATATGTGTTCATATCACACTTGGTCTGAAAAGATCATTTTCTTATAGTCTCTGTGAGAAGACCACAGTTTCTAACAGGGTCCGTTCCTGGAAAGAAATGTATGCTTAAAGTAATAGACAAAATTCCTTCAACATGGAAAAGAATATCTGGGAGAAAGTCTTCAAGCTGGCATGATGCAAAGCTCCTAATGCTGCGGAAGACTCACACCCTCGCTGAACCTCAGTAGCGAGGTGCAGTCACTCCCGGATTCAACCGCCTGCAGACAATGTACACCTTGTTCTGCCCCTGGGCTGAGAATGTTCTCCTGAAGCTCCACCCACACTGAAAACAGGGACCTCACAGAGGCCACGCCCACAAGTCAGCCACCAACTCATTCCTAGAGAAGAGGAGCCTACAGGAGGCCCAGCCAACCAGCAGTCATGAACTCTACACATTCTACAAATTCCCCACTTCACAAGCCTATTAGTACAATTCAGAGCTTTGAAAAAGAATGAATAGAATTTCTTACATTCAAGTAATTTTCCTAAAAGGTTAAAGTTCTTCCTGCCTAAATGGGCATTAAATGGAGGCACTGCCTGCTCACTCAGCGGTTTCTCTTTGCACCATTTAACCAGGGTGCATTCTTAATGTCACTACGTAGTAGTAGTGAGAGGAGTCTAAATATGTAATATGGGACATGTGATGGTTACTAGACGTCACAATGCATCTTTCCGGCGCGTATCCAGCAAAATTATCACATTCATTTCAATTCCATGAACACCTATACCCTGTTTTACCAGTGAGAATTACCAGGGGTCTAAAAAGGACCATTTAGTCCAGACTTTTGACTGAGAACATCTGTACTTCACGACCCGAAGCACACAAACGGCGGTTGCCTTTCTCCTCAGAAGCCGGCCATGTTTCCGGACCCCAACTCAGTGCCAGACAGACGCCTCTCCTGAACTCCAAACACGCCACACTGCCTGTGGGTCTGATGCTGCCGCCAAGACCAGAGCTTCTAAGAGCCCCCTCCCATCTAACAGAACTTCCCCCCCACCCCAACAGTACCCACAGCTCAAAACACCACAATGCAGCCAACTATCAAGGTAAAATATTCATAATCTCACCATAAATATTCACAAGAATGCAAACCGCAGAACAGAAGGCAGAAGCAAACGATGTACTGCAGATAAACAAACCACAGATCTCCCAGTTCTGATAGGTAGAGGCAGCAAACATTCCTCACCAAAGCAAAGCTCAACCTTCTATGCTCGCACACAGAAGAGAAATCTGGCCCATTTCACCACTGTCCTGGTACTGCAGACGCTGTCATTTTGGCGAATGATATGGGGCACCTGTAATGACATCATAGTGGGTGTCACCAGGCCATGACTGGCCATCCAGTGCAGTGGGCATTTTCCCGCTAGACCGAAATCCTCCCCCCTTGTGTCACTCGCTCTCCTCTACGTGGAACAGAAGCAGCATCTTCATTCACTGAAAACTTCAGCCTGTTTGACTAAAGTTCTGAATTGATTGCTAAAAGACAGAATACTTGTATTAATGGATCTACTTTTTTGTGGTGTATATATACATGTATATCTACATATACTGTTAACCAGTATGTGTGCGTATGCGTATATATACACCACAAAAAAGTAGATCCATTAATACAATATACATAACAAATACGATTACAGAGTGCACAGACGAAGTCCTCTCATCTCACAGTGAGCCCTAGAGACAGAGTACAAACTCAATCGCCTGTAAGAATGAGCCGGCCCAAACCAGAGAACTGTGCGTGTCCGGCAGTTCACGGCGATGTCCTTCCTCTCCGCGTCGACCAATGGCTGCTTTGCCACAGCAGATTAGGTAAAACAACTGATGTATAGTAGGAACGAGAGCTTTTTGTACATTTTTATTTAGCAATTGCTTTTATCCAACGTGACATACATTTTTCCGAAAGCAAGGTCAGCTGGGGGTAAAGGGCTTCGCTCAGGCGGGTGACAGTGACATCACTCTGCCTAACAGTGACCTACCAATCACAGGCACAGCATCCTAACACAATAATTCATAAACCCCACCCTGCCCCACCACCCCACCCCCCACATGAATTACTTAACAGGAAATGCCAAGTCAAGTAACAGACAAAATATAGTTCAAATTGGGGAAAACTGTTCCTCCAACAGCTTCTCTAAATATTTAGTTTTACCTTGCAGAGATTTTCACTTTTGCCCACAGGCCCAGCGGAAGCAGGCGGACCAGGCAGGTTTAACATAATCAGACCATTTTCTGGCACCACAGAAAGACAAACCAATGAAACGTTCCAGACTGAAACATTAAGCTGGAATCTTTATCCCCTTCTGTCTGTAAGTACTATCCCTAACCAATCAGTAGGCCTCACTAGACTTCATTCATCAAGATAGCACTCGTACTAATAATTTATTAATTACTAACCCATACTTTCCCATCTTCAGTGCTCTTTATTACCTCCAACCTAAAGCGAAACGGACACAAAGAAATAAAACCCTTATCCTCCTGCCACCCCAGATGGCTTATTGTATCACATTAAATGTAAGATACTCATTTCCAACAAGCCTAAGCTAGTTAGAGGCACTGAAGTGTGCTTTCAAAGTTCCTTGAATTACTCGACACAAATTACTTCCATTTTCAACATTCCCGCTGCAGGCTAACAGATAGGAGCAGGAATTGGCTCTCCTGGCCTGTTAACTGCAAACCAGTGCTGCCGCACGATTCAAATCCAGTACTGGTTAACACAAAGACCACGACATTTGTGGAAGAGCACATCAGGTAGGATATGTGGCCCACTCCTCACAAAAGCAGAAATCCCCCCTAGGCGAGCATCAGTGCCAGCACCCCCATCCGAGGCAAAGTGAAACTGCCAGACCCCCCCCCCCCCCCTCCCCTGAAATGGGAACCCCTGGTGGAACCTACAGGACTGACCGGCCCTGAATCCGACTTTCACAAGGCTGGGAGAACAGCACTGCAGGAATGGTGCAGGACCTGGAAGGCTTTCCCACACCCCCTGGAAGATATCGGTTACTCTGCCTTTGATTTAAAACAAAAAAGGGATATAAAGGTGTGAATTTCACTCGGATCAACCACACCATTCCCACGACAGAGCCTTTAAAGGTTGTGGGAGCAAGTCAGAATTTTGTTTTATGTCCAAATCCCTGAAATATAGAAGATTAGGGGGGGAAATATACTTCAGTGATTTTCAAAAACTAATTAAAAAAACTTCAGCAGGACATTTCCAGCAGTGGTTATAATCAGAAGGTCCCTCGGTACAGATGGGCCTTTCAATGCTGCATGGTACAATCAGCTAGTGTCCAGAAATGGTCGATTTTCACCCAGATCAGTGCTGACCAGCAATCGGCAAGCAGTCTAATGTGGCCATTTTTATGAAGCGAAGAACAAGTAAAGCAAATAGCACATTACAAACATATGGCACCAAGAACCAAGCTGTGACCACGTTGGCATGGCCCTGGCAGGGCTGTAAGTGTGACCAAACTGAGCTGGTTGCATCACCACTATCTGATTAGTCGAAATGCATGAAGATACCGGTGTTCTATGCATGGATTACCTGGAAAAAGGGCATATTCCATATATTATGCAGTATTAGTATCGCATATGTACTGTATTGATGCATTTCCGAAACTCATATTTTATTCATACAAGTTCTATCACACGTCATGATGTACTATATATTAATAAATAAGCATCTCTTTGGTTTTATGTCACAGTCACTCTCCACATCCAGCAACCCAGCCTTTATCCACCGGACCCTTCCGCAGTGGAAACTCAAAACAAGCCGGAACCACGCTGTAACTAGTCTCTCTCCGCAGTATGGCTCGGGTACGGGCCGGTTCCTGTATGCCAGTGGAAAGGCGCCAATACATGACTAGGCATATATGCGGCTAAGCTGAGCTTCCAGTGAATGCCCAGTTACAAGCGCAATACTTAACGGTGTTATAACCACAGAACAAACCGGTAAGTTCCAATCACGCAAGGGCCGTGTGTTCTGAGGTTGTGTCAGTACTCCGACACAAACAGTGAAGTGAAACAAAGCAATTTCAGTCCGTATAACATGTCAGCGCTGTCTGCATATCTCACTTCTTTGTCAATTATCCGTCTCACTTTATCTCAATTTAGCTTTTTTTAAATGACGCCACAATATACATCATGTTTGTTGTGGAATGTATGCAGTAATGTTAATTAATCATGTGGACCATTATTATAAGCTAAAAATATATGACATGACATTTTTGGAATACCGACCACCTCTTGGCCCCAAATCAGTTTCCAACCACAGTTATGTTCCCCACCAGTCACCTTCCCTAGGCTGTGATAGGCGACGTGAAACACTTACAGGAAACATGCATGTTGTTTGGAGGTTCTTTACAGTGTGTGACAACGATGTTATATCTGCACAATACCATTAACACAGGGCAGCAAAGGCAGCCCTGCATAATACCATTAGCATAGAGCAGCAAACATGCGGTATTCTGACCCTTGGTATTGCGGTCAGCAGCTGAACTCGGCTGACCACCTGTTGTGGCCCCTGCTACATCGTTACAGCAGGAAGATGCAGCTAAGATCCCACCTGCACACAGTTATTTTAGGGGACCGAGGTGATGCATGCAAAACAGAGGAAACAAAATACCCAAATCTGCAAATACTATAATTATACCAACCATCATGGGTGTAATTTCCAGGGGGGTTAGGGGGGTCATGACCCCCTCAATAATCAGATCCAGCCAATATAACCCCCCCAATAATCATGTTTCCCCAGTAATGGGTGGAGACCTCGACCCCCTCAATGTTCCAGCCAAAGTTACGCCCTTGCCAACCAGAGTCTGGTTATGCAGATATGATTACTCAATCGGTCATTGGGCAACATGTCAGAATTGAATCTCTCACTGTAAACATCAAAAATAAGATCTTCGTACATGTTCTGACCATAAAATGTATTTTGTGCAGTGTCAGCCACCCAAGGACAGAGGCGTAGCACTCACCTGCGACACACTCGGGGTCCTTCTCTGCGTCTTCCAGCGCCTCGTTATCTTCGGCCTCAGTGGTGCAGCGGTAACCTTTACGCTTCAGGATGTGGCAGATGAGCACTCCCAGAAGGCCGAGCAGGAAGAACACGGGCACCAGGGACAAGGCGATGTACTGCGCATGACCATTGGAGCCCGAATCCTTCTCTGGTGTCTTAGTTGCTGAAAGAGAGCATATAGAGTCAGTGGTATGTCCGCTTCACAAAGGGCGTTTTTCCGCTGCAGCAGGTACCATACTTTTGGTACTTATATACCAGTGTAGCTTAGCACTTCTACATTTGGTACTTATATACATGTAGCTTAGCACTTCTACATTTGGTACTTGTATACCAGTGTAGCTTAGCACTTCTACATTTGGTACTTATATACATGTAGCTTAGCACTTCTACATTTCACATGAACACTGGCTGAAGCGGCCAACATGAACAGTTGATTCAGGCTAGAGAATCAGGGACTGATTATATTTTATATTTACTGAACTTCAATTACAGAGTTTCCCCTACCATTATATTAGGGGGGGTGCCTCACCCCCCCAACGGCACCTCCCACCCCCCCCTTGAAGGTCAAGTTAATTTTATTTAAATTTTATTTTCTATGGCGCCAGATCACAACAGAAGTAATTTAAGGTTACCTTTCCTATAGAACAGGTCTATCCTTTTATTAAACAAACTAAATAGCCTTATGTTATTTACACAACAGCTTGTCTTTTTTGTCTCTACACGGCCGCTTGTTTACATTTCTCCTCTGCTCTCTGTATCACGCATGGCGGAGTTCCACCCCAACACACAGGTGAGCACACGTCCACCAGCAGACAGAGAGCGCGTCGGAAAATATGTCACGTCAACCACCCAGTCAGCAGTGTAAACTGTGAGAGGGACTTCTCACCCACGAACAGGGTAATAAATACGTTTCACAATGGGATTTTCTGCTTTAAACTACCAGTATTTTAAGCTATCAGCTCACTTTTAAAGCCTAACAGTTAATGTATTTGCAGGTCAAGACAAACATCAGCAATAGGCTGCAAGGAGACCATCTTGCAACCTGCATGCGGATCTCAATAAATGAGCCAGACGTTTCTGACTTCCCATATCAAGAGGCTCTAGAAATGTTCTTCCAGAAGCCCAGAAAGATACACTGCAGTGACAAAAGCTGCACAGTTTGTGGATAATTGTCATAAAAAGAAATGTTCTGATGTTTAGTTGTTATATTGACTGCTGTCATGAAAAGAAACACATGAACACCATGAATCCTGTCCGTGTCCGTGTCCCCCCCCCCCCCAAGCTGTAAACCTAGGGGAAACACTGAATTAGTTCTGAAAGCAGGTGACAAGTGGGTGACAGCTGGTTGTGCGGGATGTGAGATGCACATGTGTGTTGTATGTGTGTGTGGTCTATGGGATCATAAATAAAGCTTACATCGATATTTAGCCAGGTTACAGGCAACAATGTCACAACAACAAGTACTACAATAGTACTATTAAAACATGTTACCTATGTAACAGCTGCGTTGATATTTAGATCAATAGGAAAACTACAGCGGTAAGTTTAACGTTACGTGCCAAATACTGCTCGCGTAATGCTAGGTAAACGGTAACCGGCGAACTGCACAAGCGTCGTTGTCTTGCTGCATAACTTTAAATCGAATAATCAGTAAAATACAGGGCAGTAAGTAAGTACAAGCAAGGTAATAATGAACGCTCTTTAACAATACTCACTCTTTCCATGAACGACATTTCAGGGATAACAGGTAGCGAGACTCACTGCATTTAATGCACATTAAATGGGAAGAAAGAAAAAAGTAGAGAGTCTCGCAGTATGCAACACTTAAAACAGGCCGAGGATGGAAAACTAAAATGCTTTAGTTCCACCTTTAATCTTTCTGACACAGCTGCCCCAAATTGTCGGTCATCAGAATTGTCATTCAAGCAGAAAGACCGTCTGGGGCATCCTCTGCCTCATCGTTGAACTAGGGAAGCAGAATCGGTCAGGTGACTGGACATGTATAGGTCTTATTCCTTACCTTCACTGTGGCAGTACGCACCCAACCATCTGACCCACAGAAGGTCTGAGTCACTGTACCTAAAGGCCAGGGTGTGCGTGGGAATTGTGGATCTATGATGAGGACCACCTTCCCCACAACGAGTTTCCTGCCATCGGTCTTCCACTTCTAGCGATCCTGTAGGCCTGGCAGATGGTGTCAGAGGCACAAAGTCCAGAAGTGGTCCGCCAACACCTAGCTGTGCCTCCAATGTCGTTTTCCCAGCAGGTCCTCATTGTCATACAAGGCTTGGGGAAGGGATGAGTCTTGATGTCCCATGAGGAGCACGTTCAGTGTTCTAAGTCAGCCACATCGGCTGATACGTAGCCAAGGTGTTTGGCATTCAAAATGCCCTCAACCTCAACGAGAAGAGTCCGTAGAACAGGTTTGGGGACTGACTGCTCTCGCAAGGTGACCTTCAATGCTGCCTTCACTGACTTCACCTTGTGCTCCCAGGTCCCTCCAAAATGTGGTGCAGCTAGTGGGTTTAACTGAAATCGAATTTTCTGTTCTGCGAGTTGCTCCTGCAAGTGAGGAGCCATGGCATCTGTAGGTTATGTTAATGACGCCGTTTCAGCAGTTTTATATTTTTTGTTTACTTATTCTGAGACAACTACTCTTACACACTGTAGCCTAAATCATTCCTTGCTCGCTGAACTTAGCTTAACTATAAGCTACCTTTGCTAGTGTGTTAAAAACATGTTACTCTAGTTATGAAATCATTCCATGTTTCAGCATCTATTTCAACATTAAAATCAAACTTGTGTACTGAAATAACTATTGTAGTGATTATTAACTTCAGTCTAACATAGAAATCCTATTGATGTTAATGAGAAATTCAGATGTGTGTGTGGGGGAGGGGGTGAATTATATTAAATGACTAACTTGAAATTAATTGCTTATCAATAAATTTATCATCAGATCAATCGAAAAATTTATTGTAAGATTAGTCGAATTATCAAAAAAATAATTGCTAGATTAATCGTTTAAAGAATAATTGGTTTGGGACAGCACTAGTTTGTACCCCAGCATATCATTTAGACAATTCCACTGTAGACCAAGCATTGGCTCTTGTAGGTCAGTACTGCTTGTGACAGCCACAGTTCACTGCTAGAAGATCTGGCGTCCAGTGGGAGATGTTCTACGACTGAAGGTTGTTGCCCATTGCCCGATTTGGAAACCTTCCTCTGACAGAAGCTGTCTCAAATGAACCACCACAACCTTGGGTCCAAATGGATCCGATGTGCTACGGAGGCAGTTATCAACATACAACCCCAAATCAAAAAAAGTTGGAACAGTAAGGAAAACGCAAATAAAAAAAAAAAAAAAAAGTAGTGATTTCTAAATTTATTGGATTTCATTCCAGACAATATGAACGCAAAATATTTCATGTTTTGTCTGGTCAACTTCATTTCATTTGTAAATATAAATCCTTTCCTGTCATTCAGACCTGCAACACATTCCAAAAAAGGTTGGGACAGGAGCAATTTAGGGCTAGTAATGAGGTAAATTGGTTGAATAATGATGTGATTTGAAACAGGTGATGTCAACAGGTGATTGTAATTATGATTTTGTACAAAAGCAGCATCCAAGAAAGGTCTAGTCCTTACAGAGCAAAGATGGGCCAAGGATCGCCAGTTTGCCAACAAGTACGTGAGAAAATTATTGAAATGTTTAAAAACAATGTTCCTCAAAGAAAGATAGGAAGAGATTTGGATATTTCAGCTTCAACAGTGCATCACATAATTAAAAGATTCAAGGAATCTGGAGGAATTTCAGTGCGTAAAGAACAAGGGCGCAAGCCTAAGCTGAACAAGCGTGATCTCCAATCCCTCAGGCGGCACTGCATCAAGAATCGTCATTCGTCTATAAGCGATATGACCACATGGGCTCAGGACTACTTTGGCAAACCTTTGTCAAGTACCACAATACGTAGTTACATCCACAAATGCCAGTTAAAACTGTACTGTGCCAAAAGGAAGCCCTATGTTAGTGTCCAGAAGCGCCGTCGACTTCTCTGGGCTCGAAGGCATTTGGGATGGACCATCACACAGTGGAAACGTGTACTGTGGTCAGATGAATCAGTATTTCAGGTATTTTTTGGGAGAAATGGATGCCGTGAGCTCCAGACCAAAGAAGAAAAGGATCATCCAGACTGTTACCAGCAACAAGTCCAAAAGCCAGGGTCCGTCATGGTATGGGGTTGTGTCGGTACCCATGGCAAAGGTAACTTGCACTTCTGCAATGGCACCATTAATGCTGAAAAGTACATAGAGATTTTGGAGCACAATATGTTGCCTTCAAGAAGACATCTTTTCCAGGGATGCCCATGCATATTTCAACAAGACCATGCAAAACCACATTCTGCACACGTTACAAAGTCGTGGCTGCGGAGGAAGAGGGTTCGGGTACTTGACTGGCCTGCCTGCAGTCCCGACCGGTCTCCAATAGAGAATGTGTGGCGCATTTTGTAGCGCAAAATGCAACAACGAAGACCCCGTACTGTTGCCCACCTTAAGACTTGTTTGCAGGAAGAATGGGACAAAATTACACCTGAAACACTTAATCACTTGGTGTCTTCAGCCCCTAAAATTGGAATACCGTATTTTCCGCACTATAACGCGCACTGCATTATAAGGCGCACCGTCAATCAGTGGTCTTTTTTCAAACTTTTTCCACATACAAGGCGCACCGGACTTTAAGGCGCTTTAAGCAAAACAAAACAGTCAGATAAGCCAGTCAACCAAAATTTATTTTACATCACGTGTTCACAATGACTGTCAACATTGTTCAAA